TGTATGTATGTATGTATGTATGTATGTATGTATGTATGTATGTATGTGTGTGTGTGTGTGTGTGTGTGTGTGTGTGTGTGTGTGTGTGTGTGTGTATGTGTGTGTGTGTGCGTGTGTGTGTTTGTGTGTTCGCGTATGTATATGCGTGTCTTTTTGATAATTACGTGTACACCAAAACAAATATTCATGTCTATGCATAAGCGCGTCTCTGGGTGTAGATTTATAATCATACAAAAGCCCCAACACCATAACAACAGGATAAAACAACCGGAGTTTATGCAATTTTTTATAATTAATTCAAACGAATGAATAAAATGAAAACACACAGAGCACAGAAAAAAAAAAAAACAACAACAACAACAAGCCAAGTGTAAATACATGTAAAACAAAAAGTATGAGGTATAACGTAAACGTTGAAAGTAACCGCAATTGCACGTGTTATAGATTCCAAATGTATTACGTGTATGAGGATGTGGTGTCACTATATATTGAAGTTGCTGTTGGTTTATTAAATGCCGCACATATCCCATAATGCAAGGATTGAATTATTTTACATATACGTAAATTCTAGATTAGTTATTTACCAACACATATAAATCATAATAGAGAACCGTTTTTTAATAGCCAAAATATATGTATGTACGTAAATTCATAAAATATATATATATATATAAATAAAATTCTATACTTTGTTTTAACGAATTCCGGAAGGTATTATCACTTTCTCAATCCGTCGGGTTAACTGTGAAAAACTGCTCTAAAAATATCGCAAAAACTCAATCTTCAAAAACTAATTCGCAGATTGGCAATCTGCCAAATCTCAAAACAATATATAAAATGAATCCGAATAGTTATATATTCATTATCGTAATGAACATGAAGATTACAAATCGCTTCGAAATCGGGTCACCCGTGATTAGAATGACGAGACACAAGAAAACTGGAAGAGTGAAAGGCTTTTACACAAATCTTGCCTCTACCCATCGTCTAAATTTCTTTCTTACATAGGTAGTGTGCTTCGCCCCCATTAATTGTCATTCGTATTAATATCAGGCTTGATCTATCATTTCCGATTTTTCGTCACAATCTTTCAGTTCTTAAGCAATTATGAAACAGACCTGCGAAGCATCATAACATAACATCGTAATCCAACTTAACTAAAACCCGATAAACTAACGACCATTAACTAACTACCTACTAATGTTTACGATTATTGAAAATTTTGAGAAGAGACAGGAGATAGACCCATGCTTGGACTTTAAATTTTCTTGAGATTTATCTCTAAGCTGATTAAGTATATTTACACACAAGGCGGCATATTTGTGTACGCTGCAAATAAAAATACAAAATAAGTATATCGCGAGAGTGTGGGATCGCACGAAAGAGAAGAAGAAAATTGACTTTAGGAGAATTCGCATTTAAATGACGAAAGTCGTTATTATATCTGATCCATACAACTTTCATAGCCCAAGTATTTTTGTTAATAGAGACAGAATGGTGAGCGTGTGTAGGAAAGGATTCGGTCTAAACCTTTATTAACCAATTTGCTCTCCTACTAATTTTTATTATTGTTTAACAGCCGGGGAATTATTTAATATTTTATCAGAGATGTTTTGTAATTAAATTAATTTGTCTCCTCGCTAGGGGATGAATGGTATTAAATGCAACAAATTAATTGTTTTTATTATAATTTATTATTTATTTTTAGTTTTTCAAATAAATATCACAACATGCGTACTCCAATACCAACAACAACAACAATAACAATAACGACAATAATGTCTATAATATTATTAATAATTACAATCAATGTCACGAACACAAGTTCTCAAGAGGAGGAGAAAACTTTAATTGAATATCCCGGACTAGCAATAAAGGAAAAACGATACGATTACACTCTGCCTAAAGAACGTACCAAGCGCGGTGCATTCTGGGATTTATTTCAGAAAGTGGTGATAACGAAAAACTTGATTGTCGATGTAATAAAATTAATGATCTAATATACGAGCCAGTTATTTTCAAAGAGGTTTAAGTCCATTTAGTTTAAAATCGAATGATTTATTATTGCTTTCTTTCCTTTTTCCTTATTGAACCTTGTCTTCAGTAACTTAATTTGTTATTATGTCGCCTGTCCGACATCTCGCTATCGTCTTCAATTTCTCTAATTTTTGTTTTTAAAGTATGCGCCATATGGTATGCTTCAAATAATTGACCGAACATCCAATCAATACGTGGATAATGTTATTAAGGCGTGCGTGTATTGTAATAGATTCGCACGTAACTACAAATAATTCGCGTATTATTCAATTCGATCGCGATTATTGCTCTAAATTGAATATTTTTATCGATTCGGACAGTTTGAAAGATGTAAAGAAAGGAGAAGGAGAAAAAAATTCGCAAAAAAGTCAAGAGAAACCGTTAGATCTATGTAAAAATAATTTAAATTCAATTAAGGAAAAGATGATCTGGATTTTTTTTTTTGTGTTTTGGGAGGGGCGAAGGAGAATCGAATGGACTTTAATCTCTTTCAAAATAAACAATTAGCTTATCTACTTTGCGGAAGAACAATAAATAATTTGTCGAGTTTTTCTTTTCATTTTCCATTTAAAGCAATACCAAGATACCAAAGATTCGTTAAATGAAATTTATAGCTTAATTAGCAAACAATTTAACGATTTGGAACCGACCACACCAAGTACACAAGACACGATTGGCGCAACTTCTCCGGTGAATTAAAAGCAATGAAAATTTCGATTATTTTAAGTTGGAAAATAAACAAAATTTCATTTCTAAGGTTAACAATAATGACGACAGTTCGGAAGCTCAATCAACTAGGAGACCATATACAATTTCCCGTTATGAATTGGGACGCATTCTGGGACGTAATTATCGTGGCTTACAGCGATTAAAAGATATTGAGATCAGGGATGCCTTAAATGTAAGATTGAAGTTAAATAAAACAATTTTGTTTATTCTAAACAATTTTTAAATTATATCTCTATTTGAACAGCACAGTCATTATAATGTCTTGGAATATAAAGCTGAGGCCGATAAGCAATTCGCCAATAGTCTGCCACTCGAAAAGAAAAATCTGATTAAATCATTTATAGGTTAATTTGTAGTAAAGAGATTTTTGTTTTCACTTTCAATATCGTATCGCAATCGCATTTCATAATAAGTTAATAAGTGAACATCGCATTTAACGACAGATAAATGAAAGATTTCCAGAAATTCATAAGAAACACATTATTTCATATTTTAATTCTTAATATTTGTTTCAATTGGTTCCACAACAAATTCGGACCGACTGTAGATGGATTCCGTCGCGGTTAATGATTTAACAGTGTCTTCATTCTACTCTAATAGATCATTCTGTACGAGAGTCCACATCGTCACCGGTAAAATTTATGAGTTTTGCTTTTCATTTTCCTTCACCTCATTTATGGTGCAAGCGTATGTGTATTAAATATAGCCAGATATATACAACATCCGGAAGGACTTGAGATGGACTCACCTTTTATTATATCTCTCGATTCAGAATCACTTTTTGAATTGATTTAAGATTGTCTGCTCCTTTGTTCGTTTACCCGCTTGATATTCTTGTACGCAGTCTACGGATCGCAATTTTTCAAATATTTTAATAAAAATTTTTGACACCGATATGTCTTGGCTGAAGACTTTTGAATATGGTTCGGAACGCGTCACTTTCTCGTTCACTTTCCATACAATGCCTTATTTTGAAGAATCATTATATGAACAAATGTATTAAGCGAAGTGGGCATTTAAAAGTGGTCCGTGTCCCACTATAAAGCTTTTGCATCCTTTTTATTTAAAGAAAAGCTAAAAAAAAAAACGTAAGTTAAAAGAATTTTTCGTAACTGAGCATAATAAGAATTCAATGAATGCAGAACGCTAGCGTTTACAGTCATTCATGAATCGAACAACTGCACGAACGACCTTCCGCAAGTCTTCAGATATTGGACACGATCTTTAAAGACAGAGCAGACTGCCCCGAACACTATGCCGCAGGTCACCAATCCAGTCATTCATTGATTTCATATTTCCTTCGAAAGATGTGATAATCAATCAATATTGAAATATGTCGCATAACCATAATATGAATGCGATGGCAGCGCTGTGTAAACTACAATCAGTCTGGGTTCCAGAACATGGTTGCATTTGCAACAATTGTAAAGCAAATGAAATAATTCAACCGATCATTATTCTCACCACAGAAAGAGCAAGGAAAGTATGGAAGCGAAAGATGGCAAAGGTATCAGGAGCCCAGGCTTCTCTTGTAAATATTTTCAGCGAGTCTCATGGTGGTTACAGTTAACCAAAATCGCATCAGCATTGAATATTTAAATATTAGAAAGAGCTGGTCTTCTTGTACCTCGCACTGGAACAAAGAAATCACCTGACTGATAAAAATTATCTCACTTCCCTATGTATCTCGTCAACACAAGCAATTAATGTCGTCGTCGACATTAAACAAACAAATAAAAACTTTGCTTGATTATCTCTCTTAGAATAGTTGGACTCGTATTTCACACTCGCCAAAAACGAAGAACAGAGCTCAGTTTTCTTCGATTCCCTTAAAGATCTTCCCTCATTGATCCATTTATTAAAGTCCATATGACATGTGTCACACATCCATCTCTCACTTTGTCGTACACGTTCGGAACTATAGACAAGTCGGTTCCGCAACAGCAATATACATTTGGAAACGTCATGTCTGCAAGAAAATAAAGTTAATCGATGAATGCTTCCATTTAGAAGCACAAGCGAAAACGACTTGAAGCAACAGGTCTGAAATCGGTTATCATGCCAGCGAACATCGGTATCGTGCATGAATTGAAAATCCATTATCTCCAAATATTCTTTACCGGGCTATCACACATTTGTAAAATAAAACCCCTTGTCAATTGTTTGAAAAGCAAGCTCGACAAATATTTGCGCTGCGCTTTAAAAAACTGCGCCGTCTTTGATTTATGCGTGAGAACGGCTGGCGACAAATTCAACAAACGCTTTTGCACTCTAAAGCACTTTAGAGTAAATTGTGTTAAACTTATTTTCGAAAAGATGATTATGCCGGAACAGTAGCTTTGAAAGAACTTCGAGTAATCATTGGCGATGCCATTTACCAAAATCTTGGAGAGTTAAGGAAAGATAACTACTACTTGTACGTATCGATGAAAGCAATTGGTTCACAACTTTAGTGTACCGACAGAAACATTATTGCAAAGATTACTTTCAAGGCATATTCATAGGGTCGCCTTTTGAAAAGAACAAGAATTCTAATGTTAAGTATTTTCTTTATAAATTGTTATATATATATATATGTATATATGTATGTACGTATGCATGTATGCATGTATGTATATATGTATATTATATAGCAAGTAATTTTCATATGTTCTATGCGATGTGGAAAAAGAGTGTCTTTGGTGAAAAAATTCAGACCTATTATGAAATGGCTTAAAGAAAAGTTTTATGAGGCGAGAAGGACATGAAACATCGTTTATTATATGACTTAAACTGTTACTACGCAAGGTATATATGAAATAATGTATTTTTAAAATCCTCACTATCACAAGAAAAAAAAAAAAAAAAAAAAAAAACACAATTCGAAGAATGGTACAAAGAAAGACGAGAACGTTCATAAATTTAAATCCCTGACAACTAAACGAGAGAAAGGTGAGGGAAAGAAATCATCAAAAATATAACTCTAGTTGGCCACAGACAATAATGCATCAAATTAAAAAGTTTTTGTCATAATTTTATTGCTAAACTTTTCGCTTCAATTCCTCTTTTCCTCTCCTCTACTTTATTTCCAGTGCACGTAAAATGCTAAAATATATGTATATATGTTTATATATATATAAAAAGAAATTTCAAATATAAAATAAACATTAAAAACTTATAAATGTAAAACTAAACAAATATGCTGCTAAGAAATTCCAAAACATATAAAACAGACAGACAAACAGACAGACAAACAGACAGACAAACAGAGAAGCAAACAAACAACCGCACGAAATAACAAGAAATTGAAATGAAAAATTCCCTTAAAATTTTATAACAAAAACAAAAACAATAATACAACAACAATATGATGGTAAGAAATGTTTGAAGCTATCTATGTAAGTGAAATGGTGTCATGGTGAAGGGCGAGGAAACGAAAGAGAACTAAAATGAGAAAGTGAAAGAGAAAGATGGTGAGAGAGAGAGACGGGAGAAGAGAAGAGAGGAAGCAAAAGAAACAAAAAACAAAAAAAAAAAAAAAAAAAAAATCTTTTTAGTTTTAAAAAACCACTAAAAGTGTCATAATTCGATGCCCACGAGACAACTCTCATACCAGAGAATATCAGTAACAACTCTATGTGCAACAGGAAGGAAACAAAAATTGAAGTGAAAATATGTACAAGGCGAAGGCATTAAAAACGAAAAACAAGAATCTGCATCAGCAGCCGCCGTAGTCGTAGCTCGTAGCATACAATCGCCGCGGTAGTAATAACTTCGGCTTTAGCTTTTTGTGTCAGTCACTAACAATGCAACGGTTGCCAAAGTTTTGCACAAATGTTTGGCAAACGTGCAAAACTTTTAGGATATCTAAAATATCCATATAAACACACAAACACACACACACACACACACACACAGATATGCGCATACCCGTATATACAGTTACCGTACCGATATAAGAACACAAACCCCAAGAGAATTGTTGCTCTTAGCTTTTCTTCTCTCTTTCATCCAAAGAATTAGTACAAGTTTGATGCTTGCATTTGAAAAATTTATTTTGTATGTGTGGTTTTGAGTATTGTTTAACAAAATGTCACTTATTTTAGTATTTTTGTTATTGCTATTGTAATACTGTAATACTGGTTACTTTTGTTATTGTTGTTTGTGTCTTGACTGTTGCCATTGCCGTATGTATATATATATATATATATATTTGTATATATATTTCAATCGAAAATAATAAGTTCGTCAGTATATGGGAATGCCAAGTTCACAAGACAGCTGCTGCTATTGCTGTTCCTGTTGCTGTTGATCCTTTCCACTGCTTTCATCGGGTAAGGAAAATGAAATATGTTCAAGTGCAACAAAAGTTTTGTTTTTTCTTTTTCTTTCTCGTTTTTTTTTTTTCCTTTTTTTTTTTTCTATAACAAAGCATACGCTTGACTACTTATTTGCCATTTTGATAACGGTACAAGTTAGCAGTTACAAGAGTTAGTTAGTAGTAGTGGCGGTGATAGTGATGTTGGTTATAAAAGTATTGACTTTATAAATGCGGGCATTAATCTACAGTTACATTTGAAAAATGTTAGTTTTACAATTCTACGATAAGATGAAAAAACAATCAAACATACCGTATTATTTAAATAAATATAAAGGTGAGCTTAATAAGAATACAACAAAAAAAAAAAAAAAAAAAGAAAGAAAAAAGAATAATTTCTACCCTTACATAGAAGGAGTATAAAACAATTGTTAAACGTTTTTATTGATTCTTTCGAACTTCAAAACTTTTAGTGATTCAATGATTCAGTTTACTGTCCTCAATGTATGCTAACGAAGCTATTGTACTCTTCAATCTATTCCCAATATATTCCATCAGATCGTTGAGCCTTCTTTTATTCGTATAATACATTTACCATCTCGGTAAGTGAGATTGGGTCGATTGTTGGCGATTTTTCTTCAACACTTTAACTGACGGTATTTAGCATATTTGTCGATTGAAATCTTCATATATCAAATCGAGTATCTATTACAGACGAACACTATCAACATCCTCGGTTTCGATTACGACAATCATGGATTTCGTAAAGAGCTTACAAGATTTTCTTGCTGGTCCCAAAGGACTTTTTTTATAAAGCGCATAACCAGACATACGCTATTTAATACCTATTGACATTTACACTGCACACATTGTATCATCTGTGGTTGATCTGCTGAACTGTAGAAGCAGAAGACCATCTAATCCCAATAATTCCTTCATAGTCGTATATGAAGAAGACGCTGGGTAGATTAAAGTTTCAAAGTTGGTTGAAAATAAATTGGTTGGAATTGGTTGGTTTATACAATCCGCTTGGCATCAAAACGCCAAGTCTAAAGTTTCTCTTCTCTTTATAGCAAAGCAAAGCAAAGAACGTCATCTATGCGTCTAACACGCTGATGGTCATTGAGAATTGATAAAGAGGGGAAAGAGATAGGGAGTGGCCGCAATCTACGGAGTGTTTGCGCGATTTTTGAGTGTTAAGCTACGATCGCGTACAATCAAGCCGTGCTGCGATTCGAACCTGGGAACAACGGCTTAGTAGTCGCGGTTCTTATCTACTCGCATGTTTAGGCGGACAGCTGCAGCTTATATCATTTGATCGCCAGCTGTCACAATACAAAATGAAATGCGTCTTGCCGCATGTGGTAATCATCGGATAAGTTATTTAAAATTATTTAAAAATATCTGGTCTTATGTACTACTTTAAGTGTATTACCTCTCTATTTAAGTATGCAACCGCTAGCGGAACCTTGTGTCTTAGCTGCTTATTATGAAAACTGAGACCGTCGAGCGCGTCATTGGTTTTCATTTATACGTTTCATTAAGCATATAAGTTATTTGGCATTTTGGATCGTCTCATTAGATGTTGCTTATCGTTTAATATGATG